TCAGAGCTTTAACGATCGCCTAAATGACAGATCTGCTAAAGTGTGACTGCGACAGTGGTGATTGAGCGACAACCTATACGGAGAGACGGAGTAGAGATCTGGAAGGCAGGTCAGAGTCGATCGGTACGGCGAGCGGAACAGGTTGGCGCGGCCATCGATGATGACACCTACATCTTCAGTTGCAGTGATGGTGGCAGCGGGTAGGACAAGTAGCGGCAAAGAGGAATGAGAAGAAGAGTTGCAGTGGGGCGGCAGGGCGGTGGGGCGGCGGCGGGTGAAGTTGGTCTCCATCGCCTCTCGTGTTCTAATCGCTAATGTTCATCACCACCATTGCCGCTCATCGCTTATGTTTGCCGCAAAGTTATTGGTTGAAGAAGATCGAGGGATTTACGAAGAAGAGATGCTAGGTGAGGTGGGAATGTACGGCTGGACATTTCATTCAATGTGTGGTTACTTTTTTGTCCATATAAAATAAATGTTGTCATATAATGTCAAGTATTGACAATGAAACACATGTGGATGATGTGTGGTTATCAATGGAGTTGACCATTAACAAAGTGGCAAAAGAGGTACTTGGAGAATCTAAAGGATGTCTGCCACCTAAAAAGGACACGTCTTGGTGGAATGATGAGGTGAAACAAGCCATAAGGAACAAAAGATATTGCTACAAAAAGTTGGGACAAGTTGGAGTGATGAGAACATAGAAGCATACAAGGAGGCTAAAACACAAGCAAAGATAGCCGTAAGGGAAGCACGAGGAAAAGTGAACAAGGAGTTGTATGAAAAGTTGGACTCTAAAGAAGGAGAACTAGATATTTATAGACTTGCTCGTCTTCGTGATCGCAGGACTCAAGATATTGCAAAAGTTAAGTGTGCGAAGGATGTTGATCAGAGGATATTAATGGACGATGGAGAGATAAAAGAGAGGTGGAGGTCATACTTTGATACACTATTCAATGGGAACAAAACGCAAGATATCAGTGATTTGTCCATACCAGATTGTATGGTAAATCGTGATTTTGTGAGACAGATCCAAACAACGGAAGTTAAAGAAGCTCTGAGGAAGATGGGACAGAAGAAAGCAGTGGGTCCAGATGGCATACTGATCGAGGATTGGAGAAGTTTGGGAGAGAGAGGCGTCGAGTGGTTAAAAAGTTTCTTCAACATGATTTGGAGAAACAACAAGATGCCAACGAGTTGAAGGAAGAGTACTCTTATCCCATTATTTAAGAATAAAGGTGATGTACAAGAATGTGCCAACTATAGAGGGATTAAGCTTATGAGTCACACCATGAAACTTTGGGAGCGAGTGATTGAGCAAAGACTTCGAAGAACTGTGAAGATTTCAGAGAATCAATTCGGTTTTATGCCTGGTCGCTCAACAACTGAGGCCATTCACCTTCTTCAGCAACTTATGGAGAAGTATAGAGACACTCATAAGGATCTGCATTTGGTGTTCATTGACTTAGAAAAGACATATGATAGGGTACCTCGAGAAGTTCTTTGGTGGGCCTTAACTAGGAAAGGCATATCACGCAAGTATATCAGCATCATCATGGATATGTATGAGGATTGTACTACAAGTGTCCGTACTAGTGTAGGAAGGACTGAAGAGTTACCTATTACTATCGGAGTGCACCAAGGATCGGCTCTGAGCCCTTTCTTATTTGCCATAGTCATGGATGAACTTACGAAGTCAATTCAAGACGATATACCGTGGTGCATGATGAGAAGCAATCAGGTCTTAAAGCAAAGTTGGAAGTATGGCGACAAACATTGGAGAATAAGAGTTTCAAACTAAGTCGGAGCAAGACAGAGTACATGGAGTGCAAGTTTGGTGGAGGTAGAAGCAATGGTAATAGTGGAATTACTCTGGATGGTAAGGAGATACCAGTCAGCGATATGTTCCGTTACTTGGGCTCCATAATTCAGAAGGACGGTGAGTTAGATGGAGATGTATCCCATAGAATCAGAACAGGGTGGATGAAATGGAAGAGTGCGTCAGGATTTCTATGCGATCGAGGTATGCCGACTAGACTAAAGGGTAAATTTTATAGGACGACAATTAGGCCTGCGTTACTGTATGGCGTAGAGTGTTGGAAGGTGAAAAATGTCACATTCAAAAGATGAGTGTGGCAGAGATGTGCATGCTGCGTTGGATGTGTGGGCATACTAGGAAGGATCGAGTGAGGAATGAGACAATCAAACAAAGGGAGGGAGTAGCACCTATTGAAGACAAGATGCGGGAGTCGCGCCTACGGTGGTTTGGTCATGTGCGTAGAAAACCGAGTGATGCACCTCACAGACGAGTTGAGATGTGTGGAGAAGAGGCAGAGAAGAGAGGGAGAGGAAGATCCAAACAGACGTGGGTTAGGGTAGTTCGAAGTGATATGCTTCTTCTGGGGTTGGATGAGGGCATGACTTTGGAGAGAGCTAAGTGGAGGGCGGTGATCTTGTATCATCTTTTTCCCTCATCTTTTTTCCTTATTTTTTATCCTTATATATATAAGCATTACTTTTATTCTTTTTATTTTATCATTTTTATGTATATTCATCTCTTTTTATATTATCTTTTCATAATAGCTTATCTTTTTTATCTTTATTTCCTTTCTTTTCCTTTAGGTGGTGATATCATGTATCGATTCATGTTAGCCGACCCCAATATCTTTTGGGACTAAGGCTTAGATGTTGTTGTTGTTGTTTGTTGTATTTGTCAAGTAAAAGTCTATTAGGTCTTTATTAGGTAGATTTCTCCTTGTTGTACCCACTTTCGTACACACATTTGTACTCACCTCCTTATTTTGTCTGTGTACACAGATAAACACATATAAAATGCTGCCTTCTTCTTAACGAATTGCATGTGTGCACAAGCAAAATAAGGGGTGAGCACAAAAGTGGATACAAACACATTTTTTGTTATTGGAAGAATTCACATAAATAATCCGAACTATTAACAGTCTTCCAATATTAATCCCAAATATTGATAATTCTATTATAATCTAAACTATTAGGGACATCTTCTCAAAACAACCTGATGACCTGCATCAACCTAATAAGCAGGTCACTCTGACACATGCAATGTTTTTATTGGTTTGAATATATTTTTGTTTTATCTTTTATATTTTCTTTCTTTATTTTTTTTCAACCATGGTCACTAAGCAATTCAAGACACCGGAGAAGAAATGATCTAACGGTAAGAGGAATGGCCTGAGCACCGAGCAATATCGTCCCTTCCGCGATCGAGCGGCGTTCTTTTTCCCTAAGGTCATCTCTTCAGTTCTTCTCATCCCTTCTATTTCCCAAACCATCTACGACACTACCACATCTCCACCATCCCCAATCTCGTAAGCTTCATCTTCTTCAAAAATCTTTCTCCATCCAAAAACAGTTCAATTAGTTTATGGCCTAGGACTTACTACGTATGTACTGATATAAATAATGTAAATAATCAAATACGGAGTATATACATACACACATAATGTGTATGTGCGGTGAAGTGCATTGGTGCAAACAGGGTATATATTGGGGTCTGGGGAGGAGGCGAAGGAGGACCGATGTATAGTAGTGGCGGTGGCGGATGTTCAGTCATCTTCTTAGAAGAAGAGTGATCTGAAGAGGAAGGTAAGTGTGGTGGTTTTCGTCGGTGCTGACTAGCTTGCGGAGTGTTTTTCCATTTTCATTTCACATGCAAAAGCAAGAAGATGAACAATGTTCTTCGTTTGTGTTCACTTTTGTGTTTGTTTTTGCTTTAATTAATTTCTTTTTCTTTTCTTTTTTACCGGCTGAATAGGTCACGGGTAAATTGGATCAAGCTTTGAAGATTGACATTGAATTAGGGATTATATTAGAATTATCAATATTTGGGATTAATATGAGAATATAGTTAATAGTTCGGATTATTTATGTGAATTATCAATATTTGGATCAAGCTGAGAAGATTGACATTGATTTTTTCCTTATTTCAATTCCAAACAGTGTTGTAAAAGGCGCGAAAAGGCACCACAAAGGCGGGCCTAGGCGTGACGCGCCAACAATACGCCTCGCATGGCACGTAGGCACGACTAAAGGCGTCAGGCCATTCTCAGCCTTCGTTTTTTACCCGCGTACAACAATTATTGTCCTTTCGAACATAGAAGGTGTTGCCTAATCTATTTCAAAGGAGATGGGGTTAATATAAAGACCTTGGTGATGATAATTGTCTATTGCTTCCGGTGCGGGGAAAGTTAAGGAAAAGCGTGCGTCCAACATAGCTCCTAGCCTCTAAGTCTATTTTTTAAAATTTAACCTTGTGTTCTACTATGTATTCTTGTAGTAGTAGTTCATGCCTATATAAGCCAAAGCCTAAACAACACTCGGTACTAATTAGTATTTTATTTTATTATTATCATTATCTTCTTCATCTCCGTTTTTATTTTTACTAATATTAATATTTTTCCATTTAATTACTTTTTCCAATTCCAGTCTTTGTGTTTTATGTAAATTTGGGGTTTTCCAGAAATATTACTAAAATTAAATTAATTTACACAAATAGTTACTACAATGTGGTGCCATGGTAACTTAAGTTTAAAAATTGAACATAAGTTACTATGGTTCCACTATTATTCTAGTCAATAGTCACATTTTTGTAAACAATATTTATTTTAGTCATATATATGTAATTATTTCATGTGAATTTCTATTTTTTCATATTTAGGAGTTGGGACTAAATTTATGAGATGATTGGATCTATATACGTTTTTAGTAAAGACTGAATACGTTTAAGTTAATGTTACATATTATTGGAATATTAGGCCTTGACCCCGTACATGCCCAAAACACGTACGGGCCATAAGTTCTATTAAAATAATATGGGTTATTAACTTAATCTAGCCTATCTTGAGGCTATATAGCCATATCTCCCTAAAGTTATTTAATATTTAATTTAAATATTTTAAAATAACCTTAGGAAAATTAAAATAATTGATAAAATACTAAAACTACTTTTCACCCCTTAACCCGTCTAAAGTCTAAACCCTCCTAGACTTCAAACACCGATTCCAAGTAATAATGGGGAGCTTACAGCGACCCGACCTACCACAAAACCTAATGAACATAGAAGCAGAATTCGAGAGAAAGGTTGCGATTTGTGACGAAATGGACGAAATTCTGGATGGCAGTGGCGGCTATGAGGGTGAGACCGACTCCCCTTCCAAGATAGTTATGTTGCTTCGCCGATTTCTGGCCTTGCAGCAACGCAGAGCCCAATCCTATACTAGGCTTAAGAGGTGCCGCATGCGCTCTCGTCAGTCTCGTGTGTTTTATGTAACTTTATGCATGTGCATGATCTCAGGCGAAATACGTTATGTTTGATTTCAATTTGTTACGTAGTATTTAGTTAGAATTATTCTATGCATGTACGGATGTTCTATTTCTGCTTCAACAGGGGGTTTGACGATTATATGGTTTCTGGAGTCGACTCGACTTACCAACAACTCTGTAGACAGATCGCAGTCGAATTCAATGATTGTTCAAAGCAAGTTAGTCAGTTACTAGTACAGTCGTATGGATCATATTATATCCACTGTTCTGTTATTTTCTTCTTTTCTGTTATGGGCTACTCGCCTCCCAAAATTCTGGATTCTCTGTGTCTGAAATTGGTGCTTCTTGACTGGTTTAGGTCCTTGAAATTGAGTCACAACTTCTCTGTCCCAATTACTTCAGAGAGGATTTAGCCGCAATATTAAGATCAGTTCAAGCACAAGAGAAGAAGAAGTTGCATTTGGTATGTTTTCAATTTTTCATCACTTGATTGTTTGCATGAAATGTATGTCTTTTTTGTACGTAGTATGTAGATAGTTCAATGGTATCATCCTGTTTATCAGAGCTTATGCTTACAGAGAATATGTCATCGAGGGCATATTATCTTCATTTTGGTTTAGTGGTTTCTTTATACAAATATGTATTTGGTCAGCTGCTTGAGATACAAAGTACAAAGCCATACATACTCTGTATATACTTTCATACATAAATCAATAGGCAGGAGTGGCCCGCTAGGGTTGGGACTGTATCCAGTCGAAATTTTGGAAAGAGGGGCATCAGATATTTTGGATATCTTTTTCAAACTTTTTTTGCATAGTTGTCATGGCCTATGATGACGATCATGGCGCCAAGGCAGTTTGTGCTGGTCATGGCTATATTTATGGCGTTGCCACGATACACAAAAAATAAAGTATAAATATGAGCTATAGACATATAGTTCTGCTTTAATCACCAATAAAAAAGTGAAATAACCAAGTCCAAAAAAAATATCCTAATCAAACACACTTAACCAATTTTCCATCATTTGCAATGGAGCCATAGACTCACTATTTTTTGGCTTGAGAATATGATGGATTAAAGCAAATGGGCTCACCAAACTGTCTGTGCTTCTTTGTTATGAAGTAACAGCCAGTCCATGCAATTTTTGACGCGATTTTCATTATGGGTCATCCGGAAACAGTCTCTGTGTGCTTTAGTATAGGGGGTAAGATTGTGTACCCTTCTTTATGGTGTAAGAACAGTTTTTAAAAACGATTTCCATTATTCTCCTTACATGCATCATGAAAAATTTGTTATCAATCTCTCACATGGGCACTGTCTTCATTGTATTTTTATGATATAAAAGTATCTCCTTATACTACTTGTTTTTTAAGTCATGCTAATTGCTATAACCCACAAACAACAAATCAAGGAATGAACATCTTTTAAAAAAATGAGGATGTAGTGCCATATTATAAGTATATCGGGCAGACTTAAATAAGGTAGTAAATCAAGGGTGTTGTATGACTGAATTCTAATTACATAGATCGATCGACTAGCTGATTGGTCCTTCTTTCCTTTTCCTGTCATTTTTATTTGTTGTTTATTCCCTTTTCATGTTTGCTTGCGTTTAACCTTGTACACCACTCCTATCTATATAAATGGGATTTCTTTGTTTAAGTAATCAAGCAATGAATCAAAAAGAATGCCAGGAGGTTTCTTAAGCAGAAGGCTCCACAAAATCCCCAAGCTCCATCCTTTGCTCTTTTATCCTCAAGCTGTCATGGCAGGCTGGCAGCACACATCACTTTCGTTTAAGTAATCAAGCAATGAATAAAAAAGAATGCCAGGAGGTTTCTTAAGCAGAAGGCTCCACAAAATCCCCGAGCTCCATCCTTTGCTCTTGTATCCTCAAGCTGTCATGGCAGCACACATCACTTTCGTTTACAAACCACATTGCCCTGTCAATACTTGAAATACCCCAAGCCAGTGTGTCAAATCATAAGTGGTCACTAATATACCCCTAAAACTTATTTCAAATGAGTAATTGGCTAAACCTGCATTCCCCTTGACTTTACAGGAATTTTACTTTAGAGTGAAAGTTGAAAACCGTAAATCTGAGTATGTAACATGTTCTGAATACTTTCCCTTTCCCTGATGTTCATGTACACCCAATGTTTGAAATTGCACAATAGAATCGCGTCTTGAGGCGTGCCTCAATGATTTCCAGGCCTGTTGCGATTAAAGGCGAAACTTATTTTACACCATAAGAAAGCTTACTCCTTTTAGGCTGAGGCGTACGACATGGGCGTGCGATACATATCGCAAGAAGGCTTATGCAATAATAACTTTTCAGATTACATGAAAAAGATGGGCCTGGACTTGTTTCAATCCCAATAATTAATTTAATACTCATCAAAATACTTATCTCTTCTTCTGAGTATTAATTTTTTTACACGAGCTCTTTTGTAAGCTTTGTGCGTCGTTGCTCTGAGTTGTTCTTATTTACGTCCACCTGTCCCTTGGCGTGCGTCGGCAAGCTTATGTAGGGAGGCGAGATTATATAAAAAAGTATATTACTTTGAGTGGGTTCCAAAGTATCCTTCTAGACTTCTGATATGCCACAGGTATGAGATTGTACATTATCTTTTGGTGTCTCTTGAGAGGATTATTAGATTACTCCCTAGAAGTACTCCTTATATATTATTTTGCATAAAGAAAAACACAAACCTGAAATCTCTTTTAGGGATGGAAGGTGTAACTTATTTGCTTCTTTGTTCTTTTGCCTGCAGTTTTGAGTTGTCATCAGTGTTTCTAGTTTTTAGTGTAACCTTGTCTATAGCCAAATCTAGAAGTACTCCTTAGATTCCAGCTAGATTCCATTTTTATTTTTTAATTATTTGGTATATATACCTTAATTTGGATTATATTAATATATCAAATAATGTTTAAATATTACCATTAGCAATTCTCTTTTGCATTCATCCATAAAAAAACTTCGAATTTTATATTAAACAATTTCTAGTTGACATTATTGTTAGATTGGTAATTTAATGTGTTATTTTGAATGATTTTTTATTTCATATTAGTTACTACCTCCGTCCCATTGAAAGGTTCTCATAGCAAAACGGCACGATTATTTAGGCAATAATTAAATAAAGTACTTCGATTATATTTTGAGAAATAATTTTAGTAGGTATATATTATAATGTAGTTAGTATTGATAACTGTGATGTTATAAATGTATTATTTTAAATATTTAATGATTAATTTGTCACTTTAGATTGTTAATTGTTTCCTAAATTGGAAATGAGAACCTTGATATGAGACGTCCAAAAAAGGAAAGTGAGAACCTTCTAATGGGACGGAAAGATTATAAATTTTTATATAAATTTTTTCCTCTGCATTAAGATTTACGCCTTATCCTTACGTCTCAATGCGCAATGAGGCTTATGCAATATGTCTTGGGAAAAGAACTCCGCAATAAGCAATTTCGAACATTGTGTACAGCCAAGCAGAGATTGACTCATCTTGTATTCCCTCCTGGACCCCATCACTTAGGCCTTGTTTGGTTCAAAGGAGGGGAGGGAAGGGGAGAGTCAAGGAGGGAAGGGAAGGGAAGGGGAAGAAAGGATTTTGATAAAAATTTGTATTTGGTTGGAGGAAATAGGAGGAAAGGTCTAATGAAAATATTTTCGCAATTTACTTTTATTTGATAACTTACTTAAAAAAATAGATACATGTCTAACTATTGTGAATATTACTCCTATGGTCATGAGTCATAATTTTATTTTATTTGACTTTTTACTTTTTTAATTTTATAATTTTTCATTTTTCAGTTTGGAATTTTAAATTTTTTATTTTTATTTTTATTTTTGATTTTTTTTATTTTTAATTTTTAAAAATTTTAATTTATATTTCTAAAATTTTTTAATTTTTAAAATTTTTTAATTTTTAAATTTTTTAATCTTTAAATTTTAAAATTTTTCAAAAAATTTTCTTTTTTACCTTTTTATATTATAACTTTTTGTTCATTCACGTAGGAGATGGATAGTTTGTGGTTATAACACGTTTCCTCCGAAATATCTCGATTTGGGGGATTTAGAATGGGAGGAAGTGGAGGATTTTGAAAATCTTCGCTTTCCTCCCCTTCCCCCCTATTCCTTTAACCAAACACACACAAATCCCCTAATTTCCTTCTCTCCCCTCTGAAACCCTCCAACCAAACGGGACCTTAAAGACTTTCCTACTTTATTGAATCAAATGTTTTGTGTTTGACTCCTAAGAATGCCCTTGTTTAATGTTGTTTGTAATAATTAATTGTAGCACGTAGGTTTATTAAATTATATATAGTAGTAAAGTAACGTAAGACTTTTACTCAAAGCAAGGAAAGATAACTTTATTTAGGGCAACCCAAAAAGGAAATCAGGAACTTCTTTTAGGCCCTGTTTGGTTGGAGGGTTTCGGAGGGGAGGGGAGGAAAGTGGGGGATTTGTGTGTGTTTGGTTGAAGGAAATAGGGGGGAAGGGGAGGAAATTGGAAGGCTTTCAAAATCCTCCACTTCCTTCCATTCTAAACCTCCCAAATTGGGGTATTTCGGAGGAAACGTGTAGATAACCACAAACTATCCATCTCCTACGTGAATGAACAAAACTTTATAATATAAAAAGGTAAAAAACAAAAAGTTTTGAAAAATTAAAAAATTAAAAAATTTAAAGTTAAAAAATTTAAAAATTTAAAAATTAAAAAATTAAAAAATTAAAAAATCTAAAAAATATAAATTTTAAATATTAAAAAAAAATTTAAAAATAAAAAATAAAAAATTCCAAACTGAAAAATGAAAAATTATAAAATTAAAAAAGTAAAAAATCAAATAAAATAAATTTATGACTCATGACCATAGGAGTAATATTCACAATAGTTAGACATGTATCTATTATTTTTAAGTAAGCTATCAAATAAAACTAAATTGCGAAAATATTTTCATTAAACCTTTCCTCTTATTTCCTCCGACCAAACACAAATTTTTATCAAAATCCTTCCTTCCCCTTCCCTTCCCTCCTTAACTCTCTCCTTCCCTCCCCTACTTTGAACCAAACAAGGCCTTAGGGATAGAGCATAAAGAAAAACACAAACCTGAAACCTCTTTTAGGGATGGAAGGTGTAACTTATTTGCTCCTTTGTTCTTTTGCCTGCAGTTTCGAGTTGTCATCAGTGTTTCTAGTTTTAAGTATAACCTTGTCTATAGCCAAATCTAGAAATATGCCCAGATGTGTTGGGATTTGTCTGATATCTAGAAAAAGCCATATTTAGAAAGTTGCTTGAATAATTTCCGACGCCCTAGAAGCAATTTTGGGATCTTTCATTTTCTTTTGGGAGCTGGCTTTTATAACAGTGGTGCTCCTAATGTTTCACAGACAGCCACTTTTCAAGTGTTAAAAAAAACTGGACGTCCCTCAGAGGGACTTGTAAGCCATGAAAATTGTAGATTCGGTAAGCCAGCGGGGCATGAATGTGTACATATCCAGACTATTACTGAAGCTTCGGGAACTGAAGAGGCAGAGGCTGGTGCGGATTATGAAAATGCTTTAAGGGAAGCCATTAAAGGTGTCCAGGATGCAGTGACTGTCATAAACGAACATGTGGAAGAGGTCAGATATGAAATTGCTGCAGCACTTGAAGATTCGTAATTCACGACCGACTTTAGACTAGATTCTCGCAATGGTATATGTACAATTGTACATCATCATACATCAATTAATTCCTATGTAAGCCAGCTGCGAATAGACTATCTGTTTTTGTTTTCTTTGATTAGCACTTATAGTGGATGTAAACTGAAATGAGTATCTCATGTTGGGATGGACTCGGGCCGGGTCAACCAGACTGAAACCGGACCGGCCTGGTACTGTTACAAACCGACCCGACCCGCGGCCTGGGTCCGGGCCGGGTGCAATATACCCGAACCGGGCAACGGGTGGCCATAAAATGAACCGCCATCTGGGCCCATATTTTTTTTTGTTTTTCAAAATCTTTGGGAGGTAAATGGGTTGGGCTGGGTGTTTTGGACGGGTTTGGGGGGTGGAGGGTGGGGGGGGGGGGGGGGGGTAGGGGGTAGGAAGTAATTAGAAAGTAAAAAAAAAAAGCTACTCGGTTGACCCAACCTGGACTCGGTAGCTACCCGGACTGGTTCCGAGTCTACACAAACCCAAAAAAAGCCCAAAAAAGCCCGGTCAGACCCTGCTCGAGGCCCAGCCGACTCCAACCCTAACCTCATGTGTACGTCAAAATTTGAGGTTCGGATCGACCTAGTTCTCTTTTGGTCTTGGTCCGTTGGCAATAAGGGCGGGCTTCGGGCGTGTTGTTTTAGGACTGACTTGGCCAATCCCGGGCTTGATTGCACTATTTTTTTTTGGAATTTTAGCAATTCAGGACCTGAAAGATAAAATGCATCGATATAGGACCTGAATGATGAAAAACTATCAATTTATGACCTGGATGATTGAAAACTATTAATCTAGGACCTAAGTTGTCATAATTTTTTATTAAAAAATTTTAAATAATATTTCGTTTTATAAAAAATTAAATAAATCAAAACCTATGAAACGTTAGGTCCTAAATTGATAATTTTCCATCATTCTGGTCTTATACTGACACGTTTCATCTTTCGGGTCCTGAATTGATAATTAATTTATCTTTCGGGTTCTGAATTGATAAAATTCTAATTTTTTTAATTTATTGACTAGGTTTGTCCTGTCCCGGTCCCGACTCGGTACTGTTTAGGTCTGGCCCGGCCCGGTATCGGGCCCGAAATTTTTAGTCCCGGTCCCGCCAAGTCTAGGCCCGGTCCCAATCCATCCCTAGTCAGATATGAAATTGCTACAACACTTGAAGATTCGTAATTCAGGGACTGACTAGGCTTTAGATTCTCGCAATGGGGTATGTACACAGTACAATTGAACATCATCATGCATCAATCAATTCCTATGGAAGCTAGGGGTAGACCCGGTTCCGGTTTGGTCCCGCTTCCGGTCTCGAACATGCCGGTTTGTGAATGTTGAAGCCCGAAACAGACTCGAATTATACGGGTCCTAGTTTGCTCCCTGGTACCTGTCCGGCTTGGATCTTGTGATCTGGTCCCATACCGGTTCAAGCGATTCTTATTCTTGTTTTTAGAAAAATAAATAACAAATACTACACATTAAAAAACAAATGTAGATTTATTTGAAACACTAAATTGAAAGTATGTGAAACGTTTTATAGCCGTTCCAAACAACTATAGCCTATATCCACCCCCACCCCCACCCACCTCTTGATTTTAAAAAAGGGGGAAATAATTTAAATATCTCAAACTTTAATGGGGTGTGAAATAATTACCTCAAACTTGCATATGTAATATATATATCCCGAACTTTATATAAAAAGTTATTTTCGCACCATGTTTTTATGTTTATTTGCAAATACAAATTTATTCGAATAATAACATAATTTAAAATACTCTAAGCTTTGTTAGAATAATATTACATTTGTGTAATAAATAATATTACATCCGGTACAATTTAATTTCAATTGCATCCTCATAAACGTTTTGTGTATTTTAAATTATGTACTTAATACCATAAAATTATATTTGTGAAAAACTATATGATCATGGTGCTAATATTACTTTTTATATGAAGTTTTGGGTATATATATTACATGTCCAAGTTTGGAGCATTTATCTCACACTCATTCAAAGTTTGAGATATTTAAATTATTTTCCCCTTAAAAAAGTTGAACAAGTCATTGAGATCGAAACCGGGCCCAAGACCGCCTGGTCAGGTTCCCGAATTTCATACCCGGGACTGGGCCTGCCGGTTGCTAGGTCGGGTACCCGGTCTGGTCCAAAACGGTACTGGACCTGGTTTTGAATTGGCCCATATTGCTACACCGGGTCCACCCCTAATGTAAGCCAGCTATGAAGAGATATTTGTGTTTTTGTTTTCTTTGATTAGCACTTGAAGTGGGTGTAAAGTGAAATGAATATTGAAGCAAGATTTTGCACCTCATGTGTACCTTAAATTTTGAGTTTGTACCACTTTTCCAATAATCCACGTTAACATTTGAGTTTGCACCACTTTCCGAATAAACCGATGGACAAGGAGAAGAAGATTGGCGTGGGTATGGCTATGGCATAAGAAGGAGAAGATCGATGATGCCAGGCGTGGTTGATGGTGATAGGAAACGACCAAGGCATCGACGGGCGATGGAGACGGCCAAGGCAGTGGAGGAAGCGGCGGCCTAACAACTCTGTGCGCGGAGCAGATGGACGCTACTCTGGCTTCTCTGTGTGCGGAGGAGCTGCTCTGTGCGTCGATGTTTCTCATTTATAAAGGGTTCTCAAACCTTCCCCTTTACACACACACACACACACACACATATATAGGGGATGATTCAAATAAAAAGAGGTCTTAACGTGCAAAGTGAAAAGTTTACGCTTTTTCATGTTTCGCATGCACTTTTTCTTGCTTTCAT